AGGAGGAGGAGGAGGAGGAGGAGGAGGAGGAGGAGGAGGAAGAAGAAGACGAGGAGGACGAGGACGAGGACGAGGACGAGAGCCGTGCTGTGCCGGACGGGTTCGACAAACAGAACACGGTGAGAGCGGGAGAACATGGGAACATGACGGAATTATTCTTGAGAGGTGCCGTTATTTTGCGATCTTGCTGCAGGTTATGTACATGCACTTCTGTTTTACGCTGCCGCTATTGTAGGTGTTTGTCCAGGTTTGTCCGCTTTTTTTGGAGGAAACGGTTTTTGGAAAAAAAAACTCTGCCCGCGGCTTAAGTGTCGGTTCACGTTGTTTTTGTTGTTTTTTGTTTTTCTCCCATCATTGGACTCTGTCGTCTGCCCCTCTGGCCCCTATCCTCCACTTCTACTACTACTGACTAGCTAGACGACCCAACCGGGGTCACATAGGAGGGGGGGGTTGGACCCCCTCCTGCGGTTCATGCCTGAGGTATTTTTATCGCGAGAAGGGTACAGCAATCCCTTCCCTCGCGACTTACGAAGTCGATTGTGGTTTACTAACAAACGAGCTTTGCAGCGCGTCGCTTTCATCCTAGACCAGGATTTATTTAGTGAGAAAAAAACTCTCTCTGTCGGGACTCGAACCCATGACCTGGCCCTTAGCAGGCTGCGAGGCTACCCACTAGACCACCGGGGCGACCGGTTACGTGTAACGTGCATGATGAAGAGGAATGCAGCGTGACTTCGACGATGACCATGTAGTCTATGTATGTGTGGATGCCTCGTCGAGGTCAGTCCTGAATAATGAAGAACTGCTGTGTGGTGCGTTTACCAGCGGTCCTGCATCTCTGAGGTTAGGAAACTGACGGAAGTGCTACCGCCGGAACAACAGTGCTTCGATGTACGACAGGCGACGGGCCAACCGCCAGCTCAATCAAGATCCGGCTACTCCTCCAGGCTGAAGTGGTGGAGACTCTCCAGGACCTGTATGGGTGCGCCTCGTGGAACCTAACAGCGGAGCACTACACGA